CTAGCAAACTGGGACAAGATTGCTTTGTTGTTCTAGTGACTGCAGGTCTAGAGTGGATTACAGGAGTGGCTTGGAAAGACTTGTCATACACTAGAACCATGTTTCCCCTTAGGTCTATTCCTAAGGAGAATGCCATTGTTGAATATCTGCCCTGTGCCCACTCTGTGCTGAGCATTGATCTTCAGGAGAACAGGCTTTGGTCTGCAAAGGCAGTCAGCTGAGAGAGATCTCCATATCTAACTGAACTCATATGCTGAGCTCCTTCCTAGAGGAACAAGTTATTAAGAGAGCAGAAATTCTGTCATGTGCATGTATGTGTGCGTATATATGTATGTACAATGCCTGTGTGCACATGTACATGTTGAAGTGCTGTCAGCTTCAGATGAATATGTCAATGAAGTGATGTCTCCTGCAGGAGTCAATGAAGAAGTTAATGAATGTCAGCACAGTAAAGATTGTTAAATACCACCTGTTTCTTGGCACTGAGTGTGGAACAGTCATCTGGGAGTAGCTAAGTGCTTGGGGTAGTTGTAACACCGAGATACACAGAATGTAAAATGGTTACCTGAGGGTTTTCCAGATTCAGAGAGTGGCTTCTATGAGGACCTGGCCTTTGCTATGAGAGCTCTGGTCTCCAGATCCCTAGGAGTCCTGCCTGCTTCACTGTTCTTTCAAATTACAAGTTTTAATTTTCAATTTACAAATGAGAAGTATGGCAGAACAAATGATGCTATGCTTAATTGATTTCTATATGAAAGGAAAAGAAACTGCAATGTTGTCCAAGCTCTTACTGCAAGGAGTCAAATCACTACCTCAATTTATATAATACATGCTATGGGCACATGCCTGTAAGCCCAGAATTCAGGGAGGTAGAGGCAGAAGAGTTCGAGACAATCCTGGTCTACAAAGCAAGTCCAGGACAGCCAAGGCTACCCAGAGAAACTGTCTCAAAAAAAAAAAAAAAAGAATATATTTAAGGTGCCAGTTGTGCTGCATGTCTTTAATCCCAGTACTCGGGAGGCAGAGGCAGGTGATCTTTGTGAGTTCAAGGACAGCCTGTTCTACATAGTTAGTTCCAGGACAGCCAGCGCTACATAGTGAGACTCTTTTAAAACAACAGCAACAACAAAAACTCTACAAAACAATTTCTTTTGCTATACCAGTAGCTATGATGACTGTATACTGGGCTTTACAAAGATCTTTTTGTTTTTACAGTATTTAAAGCTGGTATGTTTAATTCTCATAACATACTGGCCATTAAAGTTGTAGTGTAAGGAATCAGAGACCTAGAAAGATTAATGACTTACCCAAGTGAATGGTGATTTCTGGAGCTGTATTTGAACTAAAGATGGTCAGAGCCCATCTAACATCTATGCTGTTTCTAACATCTATGGAAGCTCATCAACGGCCCCTGTCACTGTTTGCAGCATCACAATACTTCTGCTGTTCCAAATGAGGAAACTGGTTCCTGAGTGTTTGACACTGAGTAATGAAGATGCTCACCCAGTCAGCATGCACTCGGATCATTGTAGATGTTTCAGGGAACTATCCCTACATCATTCAGCTGTCAGCCTCACTGTTCTCATTACTTCCGGAAGCTGAGTGCTTCATCATGGCAGGGTTTTTAGCGGAGAGATGGTGGGCGGCGCAGCTCTTTTCTGGTTCTCCTGCTCTAAAGGATACCCCCTGACATCTGACTGACAGATGTCACACTTTACAGCATGGAGCCTGGGCCCAGCTTCTGCCCTAAGTAAACAGAAAGTTCTTACTCTGCCATTCTCTCACATTGAAACCCTAAACCAGTATTTGCTCTCTGTGTCAGGGAAGGAGAGATCTCTTCCAACTGTGAGAGAACCTGTGATCCTAATTTTACTCTCCTGTCAGCTCATTGCCAGTGAGAGTGGGCGAAAACTTTTTTTGTGGTCCATTTGGAGGATCAGAGTATAATCCTGTGGGTCACACTACCTGGGCCACTTAGTAAATCCAGCCAGCCACAGCAGTGCGGAAGTTTGTTGGACAGTAACTACTGCTCCTGGCACTTTTTTCCTAGCCTTTCCTTTCTTGCCTGACTGACCTTGTGCTGCTGGGGTAGGCTTCCAAAGCACAGCTCTGTTCACTTATATCCCTTTGGATCTCTGTAATAATTCCCGGTGGCATTCATTAAGGCCTGGACTCAGCAGTGGGAATAGAGAAGGTAGATAGATGGGTAGGAGAATGCAGTAAAATTACATAAACTAGCGGGAAAAGGTGTAGCTCAGCGATAGAGCTTGTGTTTGCCATGCACAGGGCCTGAGTTTAATCCCCTGTAACTTCCCAAAACCCACCATCAAAAAACACAAAAGGTTTTTATAGAAACTAGGGTCTGGGATTATTTGCAGTTGAGCTCTTGCTGGCTGTGCTGTGCCCTGGCTCAGAACCGAAGTATAATAATCTCACAATGGTCTTGATAATGTAGATCTGTCCAGGCAGATCTAGGCCAGCATGGAAAAGCAGGGGATCGCCAAGAGGGAGACTGGAATCAGCTTTCTTTGTTCTCTTAAAGCAGTGCCTCTGAAGAGGCCTGGCACACCCCTTGTCTACAGAAAGCCTCCTGCAGGCCTCAAAGGAGCTCCTCCCCTCTCTGCTGGAGTCTGCACCCACTCCCTCTGCCTCCAGACTTCAGCCTTCTCCACTGCAGTATTTAACTGTCATGGTGAAGAATCCTGGCTGGATTTCACCTGGGAAGTGTTGATCTTGGCTTTCCACTCACAGCAAGGCCTGGACCCCTGCTGTGGCCCCTTCTGTTGAAAACCTTAGTAATACAGAGGAGCCTGCTCTAGATAAATATCTGTATTGCAGTTAAACAGTTCCAGATTTTAGTTTCTGAAGTCTGTCTTTTCAGCTATGTAACTTGAAAGACAAGCCTTAATGTTTCTGGCTTCATATTTTTTCTGATACAGAATCAGGATAAAGTTAGGATATGCTGTCTGTATTAATCACTTTCCATTGAACATTTTCTTCCCCACACTGGATGCTCTCGTAGGCTGACCTGGAAAGTGGCGGCACTGTCAGGAGCAGTACTATGGCAACTGCTGTGCAGCGGTGACTAAAGATACGGAAGCCTTAGGTTTTCTTTTTGGAAACAGGGTTTTAATATGTAGCTTAGGTTGGCCTGGAACTTGTGGCCTTCCTGCCAGTTTCCTGGGTGTTAGGGTTACAGGAGTGTACTACTGTGATTAGTGACCTCCATTCTCTCCTTTAGTGCTAGGAATTCAGCCTGCCCTATCTCAAGTATAAGAACATGCTTTATCACTGAGCTCTACCTCAATCTCCAACAACCCTTTTTCTTTTCTTTTTCTTTTTCTTTTTTTGAGACAAGGTTTCTCTGTGTAGGCCTAGCTGCTGTCTTGCTGTGTAGACCAGGCTGGCTTCAAACTCACAGTGATCCATCTGCCTCTGCCTCCCTGACTGCTGGGATTTAAAGGTGTGTGCCATCACTGCCCAACTCCCCCAATATTCTTTGAAAGTGATTTTTTTTTTATGGGGGCTGGAGAGATGGCTCAGAGGTTAAGAGCACTGACTATTCTTCCAAAGGTCCTGAGTTCAACTCCCAGCAACCACATGGTGGCTCATAACCATCTATAATGAGATATGATGCCCTCTTCTGGCGTGCAGGCAGAATACTATAAAATAATAAATAAATCTTTTTTAAAAATTATTTTACCAGCAGCAAGACTGAATGAATCTCCAGTTATTATTGGGAACAATGTTATACAGACTCAAGCATAGACACAGCACCCAACAAAACAAAATACAAGTACAGAAACATCTTTTTTTTTTTTTTTTTTGGTTTTTCAAAACAAGGTTTCTCTGTGTAGCCTTAGCTGTCCTGGACTTTGTAGATCAGGCTCACAGCAATCCACCTGCCTCTGCCTCCCTTCGTGCTGGGATTACAGGCGTATGTCACTGCTCCTGGCTCAGAAACATCTTTTTACCTGTGGGTATTTAGTATATGACAGAGATGACAGTGCGTTGCTATGGTGCTGGGTCATCTGACCTGGTTGTTCACACAAGAAAGGTGACCCTTGGCCCCTGTTCACATCGCACTAAGAGTAGATTGTGGGGCCGACAAGTTCACTCAGTGGGTAAAGGCCTGCTGCCAAGACTTGTCTCCCCAATCAACGTGGTAGAAAGAGAATCAATCCCTCAGTTTATCTTCTGCCATGTGGCATGGCATGTACATCCGTGTATACACAGAGATACACTTACACACACACAATCATTCCAAGCAAACAAACAAAAAGCATTTTGGGTTGAAGACATAGCTAGGCCAACACTGAAAAAGTTATTTATTTTTTTGCTATTGCGTAATGCTATCAACTTGTAAGTTGAGAAACAGGGCTAGAGATGGTGGGTGAATCTCAAAACAAAGTAATGGTGGAAGGCAGTCAGATAGAGTCTTGTTAAAATAACACCAGCCCTATTCTCCTTGTACTGGCTACTGGTAAGGGAAGCTGCCTATTCCTTCCCATGAGAACTGTCGCATCTCAAAAGGGTAACCTGAGGGGGAAAAGGTAAATAATTTTACTTGAAAGGTTGTTTTTTTAAAAATATGAACCTATTATGATTAAATTTCTTCTTTGTTTTTTTTTAAAGTTTATTTTTATGTGCATTAGTATGAAGGTGTTAGATCCCTTGGAACTGGAGTTACAAATAGTTGTGAGCTGCCATGTGGGTGCTGGGAAATGAACCTGGGTCCTTTGGAAGAGCAGACAGTGCTCCTAATCACTGAGCCATCTCTCCAGCTCCTTTTTTTATTTTTATTTTTTAACATACGGTTTCACTGTCTGGCCCTGGCTGGCCTGGAACTCCCTATGTAGACCAAGCTAGCAGAAATCCACTTGCACCTGCCTCCTGAGTGCTAGAATTAGAGGCCTGCCACCCAGGTCTCTATAATACCCAGCTGATTACTTTTCTTATACAACACTGACTTATTTTCTTTCTCTTTATTTCCTACTCAGCCCAAAAAGAAGAGAGCAAAAGTGCAAGTGAGAGCCATTAATCTGGGGACAGATTATGAATATGGCATTTTAAATATCCACATGACTGCTTATGACATGACTCTGGCAGAAAGTTACGCTCAGTATGTCCACCGCCTCTGCAACAAGCTCTCCATCAAAGTCGAAGAAAGGTAGGAAGGAAGCCTTTTGGGGGATGTTCCCGGCCTAGGTATCATGCTCCATTTCTCTGTCAAGTCAGGTTTGGGGAAACTAGTATAAATGGAATGAAAGTTACTCTTTAATTACGTACCTGCCATAGTCAAGGTACAGAATAGCTCACTAACCTCAGAAGTCGCCTCCTCCCTCCCGAAGTCTCTGGCAGCCACTGGTAAGTTGTCTAGGCCACTTTTTAAATTTATTTATTAATTTATTGTATGTGTGCTGCTCACACATGCCTCAGGGTGCATATGGCACAATGTGTGTGAAGGTCAAAGATCGGTTTGCAGAATCAGTTCTTTTGTTCCCTTATGTGTGGCTCTGGGATGGAACTCTGTGGTCCTCAGACTCTGTGGCAGGGGCCTTCCCTGCTGAGACTGCATCTCACTGCCCCGTGTTCCTGTTACGCTGGTTTATATATCTGTACTTACACTAATTCTCCATATTGTGGAGTATTACTATAGCTTGATTATGCTTTGTTATTTTTAAAAATTATTTTCCTATAATGGTCTTTTGTTTTTTCCATGAAAATTTTTTTATTAACTTGTTGATATCTATAGAGAATCCTGCTGGGAATTTTTTTTTTTTTATATTATGTGTGGGGCATGTAGATTAGTTTGTGGGAAATTGAAGTCATAATAATTTTTCCATTGATTCAGGCATTTTTGCCTGCCCTCCTTTTCATTCATTCTCTGGATTTTCTGGAAAATTGTAGAAGGGAACTAACATTTAGAGTTTATTCCAGGGCAGCTTTTCTCATATCTTATCTCTGTTTCTGATGGCATATGTGTCCTGTGGTTTGCCTTAAATAACATTAAGTCACTTGATGAGAAATGGCTTCCGTTTTAAGTTCTTACTCAACTTAATTATGCCAAGGAGACATTCCCAGAGTGGCACTGGTGTGTCCTGAACACTGATCTACACTTCCTAATCTTTGCAACAGAGAGGGATATTGGGCTTGTAATCTTTGGCAAGCACTGATAACTCACTAGAATTTATGACATGACTTTGTTTTCAATGTGTTTATTTTTAACTTGCCTTTTACTTAATGACAGTTGATATGAGTTTTCATTAACCCATATCATGACATATAATTAGACTTTCTGCAGCATCATTTCCTTTCAATGAACATATTCTGTGAGCTTGACTAATGGACACAGTAGAATCAATTCCATTGTAATCAAGATATAGACCATTTCTGCCATCCTGAGTTCTCTGCTTCTGTAGTCCACTCCTTTCCCACAAGTCCTTGCTAACTTTTAACCTACTTCCTTTCCATGTAGTTTTGCCTTTTTCAGAATGACATATAAATAAAATAATACAGCAATTCCCTTTTGAATACAGCATTGTTCACTTAGAATTATATAGTCAAAATTTACCCGTATTTGCCTTCATCAGACACTTTGCTCCTTTTTGTTGTTCAGTAGCATTTCACTTCAGTTTCTCCATTTACTGCTTGAAGGATATTTGTGCTTCAATTTTTGGCAATTATGAATAAAGACACTACAAATAGGTATGGGTTTCTGTAAGAACAAAAGTTTTTATTTCTGAGTGATTTATGGTCAAATGATAAGTGTAGTATATATTTGAATTTACAGAAGACTCTGCAAGCTTTTCTAAAGTGGATGAATGCTTACTCCCTCACCAATAGTGTCTGAGTTCCACATAGTTCGACATCTCACATTTCTTCTTTTTTTTTTAAAGATTTATTTATTTATTATTTATACAGTGTTCTGCCTGCACGTGTGCCAGCAGATCAGAAGAGGGTACCAGATCTCTGTTACAGATGGTTATGAGCCACCATGTGGTTGCTGGGAATTGAACTCAGGACCTTGGGAAGAGCAGACAGTGCTCTTAACCACCGAGCCATCTCTCCAGTCCTCACATTTCTTCTTAAAACCAGTTTTTAAGTGAGCTGACTTATAAAATGGGTAAATAACAATTTAGGTAGTTTGTCATTATGACAAGGTTATAAGTGGTGTTTGGCTTGTGTATATACAAAAATGACCATTTCTTCTTTGATATTCATATATTCCCATTTTATAGACTAGGAAACCAAGGATCTGAACACTGAAGTCACAGAACCAGGAAGTTCCCAGGATTTCAAGTTAGTTTTGTCTGGTTTCCATATTTTCAGTTATATTAAGTCTTAGGTCCTTAACCAAAATTTGAACTTTTAAACGTTCATAATGTGGAGTGCAGCTGTTAAATGTACCATTCGAGAGTTGATAATAAGCCGTGACTTTTGCTCTCGAAGGCAACAGCACGCTCAGTCTTTCAAGCCTGAACATGGGCTCTAGCTTTTCTGATGCCTCCGAGGACTTGGTGCTCTTCAGCACTCAGCACGCAGGTCTGCCGTGTCCCCTGGTGCTCTCTTTATTCTCAGTTCCCTTCCCCGACTGTGTGTTCCTTGTAGATGGGGATGATGATCTTTGTTTAGCCCCTAGCACGAGGTCTGCCACGTGGGAAACATTCAGTCATTGTTGAAGATTGACAGTTCTTGAATATGACTTTACAATCTAGTTGTGTGGGACACAATTTCTAAAACTTAGGGAAAAGGCTTGTAATTAATAAAAACTGTTGCTGAGCCCTTCCACACTTTGTGGTGGGCTCTGCTAAACATTCTGACTGGCGCACATTAGGGTTAGTGTTTGCAGTAATTCTGACTCCAGCTACATAAGAAGATCGGATACTGCTTTCAGGAAACACACACATACATATGTGTACACGCATGCACACTAAGAAATGGTCACAGCATGGAAGAGAGTCCATGAAAAAGTGTGCAGTGTCAACATAGTACTTTGCTTCAGACTGGGGAGATGGCTCAGTAGGTAAAGTGCTCGCTGTGCAGGCAAGAGGACCCCAGCACACATGTGTGGCAGCACACAGCTGTAATCTTCCACTGGGCGCGGACACTGGTGACCTTTGGCTTCTCCATCCAGCCACACGGGCAAGTGAACCCACACACAGCACATGTGCATGTCGGACGTGCACACAGAGTACACACGTTACTACTTTCATCAGTTAAGTCTTGGCTAATGTAGTAAATGGGTGCGTTTCGTGAGCTGATGGCCGTTGGCACACTAATCCCGTCCGTGGAGCACTTAGAATGACAAGCGTGGGTACAGCCTTTGAATCAAAGTGGCTGCATTCAGACTCTAGCTCGTCAGTTATTAGTAAGATAACCCTAAGAATGCTGAACCCATTTGCTCATCAGTGTAAGGAGGATGATAATGTGTCTGTTTCTTCCAGCTCTGAGAATTCAGTAATATAGTACATGACAGTGTGTGCCATGGACATTGGCTCGTTGCAAACACTCCAAACACCGCAGTGTGATCAATACTGATGAACAGTTTTGTTCTACTAGCAGAGGTTAGGGATACCTTCTCAGAGTTTGGGTGACAAAGAGGCACTAAATGTCATTTCCATAGTGCTACTGTCATGCTTCTTAAAGATGTCACTGTAAAATCTAAATTAGGAGCTGGAGAGATGGCTCAGAGGTTAAGAGCACTGTCTGTTCTTCCAAAGGTCCTGAGTTCAATTCCCAGCAACCACATGGTGGCTCATGACCATATATAATGAGATCTGGTGCCCTCTTCTGGCATGCAGGCACACAGGCAGGCAGAGTACAGTATAAATAATAAATAATTCTTTAAAACAAAAAAAAAAAAACAACTAAGTTAGGTTGTACTTGGTCAGGTGTATTAAAGTGCAAACATTTGTTGAACGTGCTGTCAGCCAGGCACTTTGAAAAAGCTAAATCATTGTTTTGTATATTATTTAATTCATAAAAAGCCCTTGTCTTTGGTGGCCCAAAGCAGCTCTGGATCCAGGCTACCAGGGTGGGGTGGAAAAGGAGTGTTTAACTCTGCTACATTCTTACTCTGTAATAATAGACAATTTACTTAACCTCCTGTGTCTTAGTTTCCTCATGTATGAAATAGAGTTAATAAAAAGTACCAACTCAAAAAGCCTATACTGAAAATTAAGGGAGGAAATAAACTTAAATCACAAACAACTTTTTTGAGATAGTTTTGTTTTTTTTTTTTTTTCACTATTTCGACCTCTCTGTCTTAGACCTTGCTAGCCTTGAACTCATGATCTTCCTGCCTCTACTTCCTGTACGCTGGGATGTGAGCCATCATACCTGGCTCAGCTGTCCTTGTTACTAATACAGTCGGTCTAGGGAGATAGCTCAATTAAAGTGTTTAAGAACCTAAGTATGATTCCCAGACTCCACATAAGAATAGCTGAGTGTGCTATCAAGTGCTTGTCTTCCCAGTGCTGGGGATGTAGAGGCAGATCTCTGGGGCTCACTGGCCAGCCTGCTTAGTCTACTTGGGGAGTTCTAGGCCAGCAAGAGCACCTGAGAAACAAGCACGCAAGGCTGGTTCTCTGACCTCCATGTATGCATACACACACACTAATAATAATAATAATAATAATAATAATAATAATAACAATAACAATAATAATGTAATTGAAGCTTGTCCCTAATCCTGTATTTGAGCCCATTTTTCTCCTGTCTGGGTCTCGGTTCTTCTGACAGGTACTTGATGTAGGATTTGGTCTAACTTCTCTAGAATGGAAATGTGACCACGTCCTTTCCTGCTTAAAAAGCTTCCTGTCCCCTTTGCACTTCATTGCTTCTCACTGTCTTAGTCTAAAGTCTTCTGTGGCTTGCTGGGTACTCCAGACCCGGGCACTCTTCACTTCTTTTAATTCATCCTTCCCTTTCTCCTCTCTGCTTCAGTGTTTGATTTCTACTTCAAGACCTTTGCTTATGTAAGTCGGCAGAGTTTGAACTGTTCTTCTGCCTTCCTCTAACCCCTTTCTTTTTTCCTTTCTTTTCCCTCTTTTCATCCCTCCCTCTCTCTTTTCCTTTCTTCCTCTCTTTATTTTGAGATAGGGTGTCATGTGGCACAGGCTGGCCTTGAACTCACTCTGTTGATAAGGATGATCCTTCTGCCTCCCTCTCCAGGTACTAAGATTAAGGGTGTGTGCCGTTATGGTTTACTTAATTCTGCATTGTGAATTGAACTCAGGTCTTCATGCTTGCTAAACAAGAACTCTACCAATTGAGCTATATCTTCAGCCCAGCCCCTATTTTTTCTTGGGTGTCATCTTAATTATTACTTCTTTAAGAAAGCTTATTAAATTAAATTCTTATGTTATATATTCAGTAATTCTGGAGAAATAAAGGGTATATAAAGTCCCTTTCATGACATGCTTTTTTTTTTTCTTTCTTTCTTTCTTTCTTTCTTTTTTTTTTTTTTTTTTTGTATTTTTTTTGTATTTTTGTTTTTCAAGACAGGGTTTCTCTGGGCAGCCTGGCTGTCCTGGACTCACTTTGTAGAACAGGCTGGCCTCGAACTCAGAGATCCAGCTGCCTGGTTACAGGTGTGCACCACACTCCCGGCTCATAACATACATTCTTTATTTTTAGACTTATTTAACTCTCACTTTCGAATTATATTCTGTATTATGTTAAATTTTATAAGGCAAGAGCTACTTCTGTTTTCATTAGTGGTTCAGCCCTAGGACCTGGCCTAGTCTACAGTACATTCCAAGCACGGAATAAATGCCAGTTGATTTGGATTATGTTCCAGCAATCATGGGCATGCTTCTTAAAAAAGCAGGATGAATTGCGTACTGGGTTTTGCTTCTCTCTTGGCTCTTTGCTGCAAATAGCGCAGCATAAAGAGCTATTTGTTTTACCAATTCACTTCACTGCATTGATTGAGGTTTTCCAACTGTTGTATCACTAGGCATTCACAGTGCCCAGCTTGTCAGAGATGAATTTGTTTTCTTCTGATTTTCATTTAATTTTTCCTCTGGAGTGGGAATGGCGGTATGGGGATAATGACTGTGACCTTGAGGTGGAATTGGGGTACAAGAGCAGCTCGCCAGCTTTTGTTCTGCATGTATCTGAAATGCCAGCTGCCACTCCTGCAGGAGAGGGGAGGAAAAGGCCTCTCTCCTGATCTGCCTGCTCCCTTGCTAAGCAGTTGCCTGGGGACAGAACTCACACTCATCCGGAGCAGCTTCCAGGCCTAAAGCTGACCAGCCTGTGTTCCAGGGAGAGTGGAAGTGCCAGTCAACATGGCTGCTGTGAGGCCACTCTTTCTTCCCCTTAAAAAAAAAAATCCACTTGTGCATTTCTGGCTACTTTTGGCTTTGTTTTGGCAGCGCTGAGGATTGAATGTGGGGCCTTATACATGCTCAGCAGGCCCTCCTCCCCAGCTTTCCCAGAGCCTTGTCTGCATCCAAAGAGAGCACTGTCTACTGGGTTGACTCTCCAAATAGAGTTTTTCACTTCCCTTTCTGTTTCTGCTGTTTGATCAGCCTTTATTCATTTTGGGGGTGGGAGGGTTGCAATACAGAGAATGCAGATAAGGGAAGAAAAATTACCTGTAGTCTAACTACGTAAAGGCATATTCTACTTGAAATGACCAGTTTTCTCAGTATTTGTTTGTTTAGATGCGGAATCACTATGTAGCCATAATGGTTCGAAACCACCTAATCATCCTGCCTCTACCTCCCAGTATTTGCTGGTATTACATGAGAGAGAGAGAGAGAGAGAGAGAGTGTGTGTGTGTGTGTGTGTGTGTGTGTGTAGGCCAGATGTCTTCCTCAGTCGGTCTCCACCTTGTTCGTTCATTCGTTTGTTTGTTCGTTCGTTCTTAATCTTTCTTTCTCTCTCTGTCTTTCTCTCCTTCTCTCTGTGTGGTTTTTTTGAGACAAGATTTCTCTGTGTAGCCTTGGCTGTTCCAGAACTTGCTCTGTAGATCAGGCTGGCCTCAAACTCAGAAATCGCCAGCCTCTACCTCCCAAGTGTTGGGATTAAAGGCGTGCACCACTACTGCCCTAAGTACATTTTTAGAAAGTTATTTTATGTGTATGAATATTTTACATGCATGTGTGTGCACCACATACATGCCTAGTACCTGCTGAGGCCAGAAGAGGACATTAGATTCCCTGGAATTGGAGCTGCAGATGGTTATGACCTGCCATGTGGATGCTGGGACTTAAACCTGGGGTTCCCTGGAAGAACAGCTAGTGCTTGTAACTGCTAAACCATTTCTCCAGCATCCTAAATGCATTTTTATGTCTTGGTAAACCACTACTTCACCCATGAAGCCATCTCTGAACCCCTTTTTCTCTGAAATAGTTGACAGCTCTTTAGGCCTGGACTTCATTTGTCAGTGGGATGCCTAGGGCAGAAGAGGCCGGTAATCATTTTATATTGTATTTGCTGGTGTGGGCGCACACATGCACGTGCATGGCACAGCTGGGGCCTAGAGGACCCGGCGGGAGGCGGTCTCCTGCGGGAGGCGGTGTTCTCCCTTCACAGTGTAGGTCCCAGAGACTGAACTTAGGTTGTCAGGCGTGCTGTCTGCCACCTTTACCCACAGACCCGTCCTGCAGGCTTAAATATTTTTAATGAATAAACCAGTGGAATCTTACCGAAAAGAAGCATTTGAAATGTGAAACCCGTACTTAGTGATACAAATGGACAGCTCCCAATGTAGTCAGTCTTTTCTGCAGAATGCCCAAAGTGACAAGGAGCATTGCAGCACTTTCCACTTCTCAGAACTTTCACATCATTATTTTGTTTGACCTTCTGTAAAGTCTGTGATTGCGCCCCCACTTTTTAATATTGTGGCTTTATTACCACATTTGCATGGAGAGAGGAATCAGAGATTATGCTGGAGGTGGCGCTGCTGTTGGGAGCAGCTACCTGAAGGAGTCCACAGTACTCACGAGTTCATTGATTGTTTATCAGGGCAAAAGAACTGGCATTTGTGAGTGTGGTATGACAGGCAGATGCTGTGTAGTCTCAGTCATAACAGCAAACCTGTGAGCAAGGCTATATACTTCTCACTCCATAGCTGAAGGAACACACACACAGAAAGAGGGCTGGATTGACCTGCCGAGAGTCAAGTAGGGAGTAAGGGGCATTTGTCTGGGATCATCGTGTTTCTGTTTCATTTTCTGTCACACTAAGTGTCCTTCTCTAGAAGTCCACCTGTAGAGAGCACACCTTTGCTACCCCTTGGTGAACTGTGGCATGTGGAAAATTGGGACTTCTATTGTCGTCGTTAGTATGTAATTCTCTTCAGTTTGATGAGCTTTTTGCGGAGACAAATGCAACCCTGACACCGTATTTCTGCGCAGCCGTTAGTCCATGTTTACCCCCACGTTGGGTCCTCTGTGCTCACAGAGGCTCAGATGGTAATTTCATTTACACGTGAAACTCCGAGGGACAGCGGCTTCCCCAGCACATATTGCTCATAAATGGTAGACTGCAAACACACTGCTCTTCTCCCTGTAGAGCTTGGCCTGCTGAAGCTAATAGAGAGCATGGATTCGGTTGTAGTCACCCAGCCCGGGTGACTGCAGCCATTCTGTCCCACTGGAGGGGTCTCTGTGGCATTCTGTGGACAGAGGCAGGAATTCCAAGACCAGCCCCCACAGTGAGAATCTCCTGGGCTGGAATGTTCTTATGCTGACCTTGAAAGAAACTTCCAGAACTGTTGGCTAGAACACTGTATTTCTCCAGAGAAAGCACGATGATCAAGGTTTGCCTCCAAAGTATACCCAAGTGGTGGTCTGGATGCCTTTAGAACTGGTTCTTTTTCAGGAGCAGCAAGTATGTATTATCACCAGGTATCGTCTCAGTTAAGTGTGAGTAGGGACACAGAAAGGCACTGAACGCGGTGTGTTCCCTGAGAGCTGAGACGTCTGGTGGAGATAAAGTGTCTCCTTCCTTACTCCTGGCTGCAGGGCAGCATCCTCTGGAGACAAGACACGGAGCGGTGGTTGCACTCACAGGGGCCTAGTTGAAGTGGTGCTGCGGGCTTGGGTGGACAGTCTCAACAGCTAACTCTTGTTCTGCAGTTACGCCATGCCCACCAAAACCATGGAAGTGCTGCGGCTACCCGACCAAGGCAGCAAAATGACCCTGGACTCAGTCCTCACCACCCACGAACGGGTGGTTCAGGTAGGAGCTCCGAGGGGTCCTCAAGTGCTTTTGCTTCTCTGGTTCCTTCCCTCCATCTGTCATACTTTTCTTACCTTTGTCTTCCTTTCTTTAAACCATTGGTTCTCAACTTTCATAATGCTGTGACCCTTTAATACAGTTCCTCATGTTGTGGTGACCCCTAACATAGTATTGTTTTCATAATTATTCCATAACTGTAATTTCGCTACTGTTAGGAATCATAATATAAGTATCTGTGTTTTCCCATGGTCTGTGAAAGGGTCATTTGACCCCCGAAATGGATCACGATCCACAGGTTGAGAATGCCTTAAATGATGGTGTACTCCAGAGCTGGGTTTTTGACTCCTCAACTGCTATGAAATCACATTTATTCCCCAAGCTTTCTTATATACCAATACCCCTAGGTGTACACACACACATAGATGTACATGTTTGTAAGTATATGTATATAAATGCCTGATCTGTTGTCTGAGCTTCAAACACAGTAGACCCAGTTGTCTGGTGGACTCTGCTGGATGCTCCACAATGTAGTCCCTGACCTCATTTCAGGGGACAGCTTCCCTCTTTGCCTGTAATGCTTTGAGCCTAATGCTTGATCCTTCTCTGTCTTTGTTTATTGACCAAATTCCTTACCTTCTGCCAGTTAAAAGTCTTTCAGATCCCTCTTTTTCACTGTGCACTCATACCAATGTGACCATTTCCTTTTCTTGCTTTCTTTGGCTCTAATATTGTCTTCCTTTTCTTCTCTGCAGAGATAGGAGGGTAACAACCACACCACAGTAGAGGTGCCCAGAGTTAAGAACCCACTGTCTCGAACATCACCCTCTGTGGAGTCAACATGCCATACAGTTTATTCATTCAGAGCACACATTGATAGCTTTTGTATATTCAAACAGTTATGTAACCATTACTAGTCAGTTATAGAGCACTTCAATTTCCTCAGAAAGAGGCCCTGTATCAGCCAGCAGTTGCTCCTCTTTCCAAGCCCTCCCTAGCCCCCTTGTAATCACAAATCCACTTTCTCTGTGGATTGATTGTGTTTTACATAAGCAGAATTGTACGATTTATGATCTTTTAATAAAGCCTGGCATGGTAACACATACCTGTAGTCTGAATAGTTACGAAGCTGAGGCAGGAGGATTGGTGTGAATTTGAGACTTGCCTGAGCTATACAATGAGACCCTATCTCAATAAATTAAAAATTCTACATTAGAAATGCGTTTTTGTGTCTGGCTTCACTTGGTGTGTTTTCAAGGTTGCTCATAGTGAAGCATGCTTGGCACCTCATCAATTTTTGTGGCCAAGTAATATTCCATTGTATGGAATTTAGGTACAGTAATATTCCATTGTATGGAAGTTTTGTTATAGTTCCATTCTATTCCCCTCTTCAATCCACTGAAGAAGCTCGTCAGCAAGGTAGTAAACATGCAGAGGAGGGCCTCCTGAATCTAAATATGCTAATTTAAAAACTACTAAAGTAACTGGAAATGTTTAAGTCTTTTAGCTAGTAACTTGCTTATCATGACTCTAGGTAGTAGCTCTGAGGCCCAGAGGCTCAAGTAGGACTTCTTGCAGCATTCCTGCCATTGCTGTTGCTTGATGTCCTGTCACTCCAGCTGCAGGAGCGTGTCTGGATCTTCTAAAGCTGTTTGTTATACAGGGTCCATGTTCCTGACTGCTGCTCCCTCGGCCCTGAAAACTGCCCATGTTACTGTCTGATTCTCCCAGTGTAATACCATTTTCCTTCAAGACTTCACTTTACCCACTCCTAAAGCTTTCTTTGCCCTTCACTGGCTGAGTTAAGTGATTATTTCTCTTGTGGGTCCTCACAGTATGCTGTGTGCCTTTCCACCACACATTGACTCACCTCTGGGTTCTCAAGACAAGGCCTGACACCAGCACCTGGCCAGTGTGGTAACCTAAATTGCATCAGAAAATCAGCAGTGGTCTGGTTATGACATCCATGGCCTACAGGAACGTTGGCCATGACTGTCCCATCAAACATCTTCACAAATAGCAAGAAAAATCCTGTGGGGACTGAGCTCAGAAGTATCATCCTCTTCCCTACTGGAGCCCAGGGAGCCTGGGCCCTGCTTGCCAGTCACCTGGTGCTCAGCATCCTCCCTTAAACATCTTTCTTCATTTGCAGATCAGTGGTCTAAGTGCTACATTTGCAGAAATTTTTTTGGAAATACTCCAAAGCAATCTTCCTGAAGGAGTCAGTTTGTCAGTGAGGGAGGTAGGTGCCAGTGTGGAAAGGCCCCTGGTGGCCTACTATGCTCAGACTTAGGGTAGAGGAGTCTGTGCTGCTTGGCTTTTGAAACATCAGGGAAATGTGTGTGTCTGCCTAGCTGCTGACAGGAGAGGTGTGCAGCCTGGTGGGACTGTGATCATTTGCTTTGGTATCTGAGGTGCTGGGATGATGCTATGTGTGCCACGAGAGCTGGCCTCCATCCCGGCATCCCTACATTAGGGATCGAGCCCACAGCCTCCAGGTTCTTTCCCATCAGGTAGCTGTAAGGCACAAACGCGGTTTAAGATTATTAACAGTATAATGCAGCAGAGCTTAAGTTCCTTAGGTTCTGTCTTACCTTAGACATTTTTCCAGACTGCCAAGGTGTGATTATAGCTCCATTGAAAGTGTCTGGTAAACAATGGGAAACCTGCAGAAATCAGCAACATTAGCCCAAATACTAAGTGTCAGGTCTAGTTACCATGACAATCCATCTTAGGATACAGTTCCCATTAGGTCATGTTAACCTGGAGTCATTGCTTCATCCAGCTCCCCTTGTTCTGCCCATGCTTATTTGGTAGTTATTTCAGTTTCACCGAGATCTGTGGATAGGGTGAGAATGTACCGGTAGTGCTAAAAATACTACACATAATCCCAGCACTCAGAAGGCAGAGGCGGGAAGATTGAAGTTTGAGGCCAGCCCGGTCTACATAGCAGGTTCTAGGTCAGCCTGGTCTATATACCAAGACCATATCTCAAAAAAGCAAACAAGGCTGGTGAGATGGCCCAGCAAGTAAAGGTACTTGCCACCAAACCTGATGGCCTGAGGTCAGTTCCCGGGACCACATTATGGAAGGAGAGAACTGACTCCTAAATGTTGCCCTCTGACTTCCCACGTGGGTACATGTGCACAAACATGCACACACAAAAATAAATGTAATTTTAAAAAGCCCACAGAGACCAAGTTTCTAGACCATATGGCTCAGTGGTAGTGTTTACCTTATATGTGGAAGGCCCTGGTCCCTACCACAATGCAAAACCAAATAAAAACCAAAAATAACCAGAAAACTTCTGTTGTGATACTTATAGCATCCTGACAGTTGTTCACGTGCCTGTCTTGTCTCAGCCCGCTGAGAGGAAGTGTGATTCAGCCGTGATTCCTAGTGCCCGATTCAAGCCTTAGGCGTGCTGAATGCGCACTGAGGAGGGGCTGACTGAATGTCCTACTGCAGAGCTGCCCGTGGGCCGCTTTTGAATGTGCATGTGTCTGGGTAATAAAAGCTCTGTGTGCTGATTGCTGTTTGCTTCCTTTCCCGTGTCCCAGCACACTGAAGAAGACTTCAAGGGAAGGTTCAAAGCTCGGCCAGAACTGGAGGAATTGTTGGCCAAGTTGAACTAAACACTGCAGGGCCTTTCCTGTGACTGTCGGCTCAGAGCAGCTCTTCCCACGTGATCAGAGTAAAGGAGGAGAACGAATGCTCATGGGGAAGGCCTTCTGCGTCTGTGACATGCTGTGCTGGCCAGTCACCGCTTACCTTAGCAAAACCTAGGGTGGGCACCGAATAAAAGTCCGCTGTTGCCTAATAAAAACTCTGTGTGTTCACTCTCTGAAAAGTCTGCTGTAAACTAATCATTTGTTTGTTTGTTTGAGACAAGGTCTCTGTAGCCGTGGCTGTCTTGGAACCTGCTATTAGATGAGAGAGTGGCCTCAAGCTCACAGAGATCCATCTGCCTCCTTCCTCCCAATTCCCATCCCCAAATGCTGGCATTAAAGGTGTGTGCCACTGTGCCCAATATGAACTCATCTTTTAAAGTAATATGGCATGGAGTTTTAAAATGAAGTAGAGATTGCACCGTAAGTGAACTCTGTACTGGTCTGTTTTCTGTTGCTATAACGAAGTTCCTATGGCTGGGTTGTTCGGCCAGTTGTGATAGTTCACCTGTACTTCCAGCGCTTAGGAGGAAGAGGCAGGAGGGTTTAGGAGTTGAGTCTTCCATAGGTACATAGTGAGTTCAAGGCCAGTTTGGGTTGTATGAGACTCTGTCATACATACATACATAAAATATACTTGCTAAGTGTGGTGTCATGTATCATTCCAGCACTCAGGAGGTTGAAGCAGGAGGATCATAAATTCAAAAACTTGATCTTGGTGAGGGGTTAAGCAAACTACTATGAATCAAATCTTACCTTTGCCTTTTTTTTCTTGAGACAGGATTTTTCTGTGTAGCCCTGGCTATCCTGGAACTCTGTTGAGCAGGCTGGCCTCAAACTCACAGAGATCTACTTGCCTCCCAAGTGCTGGTATTAAAGACATGCACCACTGTTATGGTGACCTTAGATGGTTCCTGGGACTCACCTGGTAGAAAGAACCAGCTCCTGAAAGTTGTCTGCTGACCTCTGAATGCCACACAGACATACAGAACAAAAAGTTTACAAAATAAATGTAATAATATAATTTAAATTAGCTATTTAAAAAATAATTTCCAGATAGGGTTTCTTCATGTAGCCTTGGCGGTCCTGGACTTGATTTGTAGATCAGGCTGGCCTTGAACTCACAGAGATGTACCTGCCTCTGCCTCCCGAGTGCTGGGATTATGTGCGTGCGCCACCAAGCCTGGGAAATTAGCCTTTTTTTAAGGCACATTTCAGTGTCCTCTAGTATATTTACAGTACTGTGTAACTGCTGCTTCTTGTCTGGTTCAGTTTGTAGTCAGGAAGAGTGTTGGAGCAGAGCTGTTGACCTCCGACACTGACGCTACGATGGGGAGCCGAGTAGTTACACAAACTCTGGCTGTCTAGCCCTTTGTGCACTCTGTCATATCATTGTTTCTCAAACTGCTCGTCAGAGTCTCTGAGTCGGGGTTTTTGAGCTCTAACCCCTAGACTCTGCCTTCAGGTTTTTCCGTCCCGTAGATGAGGAGTGAAGGTTCTGACTTTGCGTCTTGCTGTCCCTCAGACGCCGGCTGGCTTCTTTGAGAAGGTGCGGTCTAGGGGACTGGTGTGCTTGCTTCTCTGAGCATCACTGTCTTCATGGAGAAGGGCTGCCTTCCTAATCTAGACCTTGTGCTAGATGCGCAGTAGCTCTCTTTACCTTGCCACTGCCCTGGGGCATGGATGTATGTTGCAGAAGGTTTTGGCAGTTGCAGGATAGCCAAGGCTATATGTTGACTCTTACCTCAAAACAACAAAACCCAAACGCTGAAACCACCGCCGAGGGTGGGCCATCAAGGTTGCAGGTGCCCTTAATTAGGATGGTTTGCCAGGAAGGTGGGGGTGGGGCGGCTGCCAAGCCTGTCAGCCTGAATTTGACCTGACAGTAGAGGAGCGAACTCCCACAAATTGCCCTGTGACCTCCACGTGTGTGCTGTGATGTACACTTACCACACATACGCATGTGTGCGTGCACACGTGTGTACACACACATCAATGTAATTTAAAGGCTAAAAATTTAAATAGTAAAGTGATTCTGTCAGGGAAAAAGAGAGTACAACTGCTCATTGCGGAGTTCTTCTATAGGGAAAATAAACTAAGTATCTGGCGAGTGTGTGTGAGTGTAAGTGAGTGTGAGGTCTGGGGTACATAACTGTGAAGATGAACAGGTGAATAAACGCACGCACGCATGCACGTGTGTGCGCTCTGCTCCCGGAGCACGTGGACGGGACAGTGTCACATGCACATGTCCATTTCAGAACCTGGCGACAGACTTCCTACTTACCAGTTTGTGGAAGCAGGACTTGGGATTTCGTTTATTGACAACATACTGCAGCTGGAAAACTTCAGAGCCACCCTGCCAGCCTGTGTGGCCCTCATCAATGGCAGGCTACGGGCCTAGAGAGCATACTTTGCCCAAGGTCATAGGACAGTCTGATCACTGCTTCCCATCACCGCTGAGGGGTGAGTCAGCTCATCTCTTGAACAGGAGGCAGCTGGACCCTGTCACTTTGGAGCACGTGTGTCACTGACCTAGTTCATGCTGTACCCTCCACTGAGTCAGGCCTCTGTCGCTCTGCTCTGAGAAGCGGAAATGGCTCTTAACATTTGTTCTATCTGGTAAGAGGGCAGGGGATAGACTGACGGCTACATCCTCACAGCTATGAACAGTCACAAGCTGCACTGGGCCCTGCGGAGTGAGCGCTGGGGATTCCTTAGGGTCACAGATAATGAAACCAAATGGGACACACATCTAGCTCCAGGTTGAAAACACCCCCCCGCCCCCAGAACCTTTATAAGGGAAAATCGGTCAGCCTGGTATCGTGCCTGCCTTCTACACTGCTTTGAGGCCTCTTTTGATTTGTCATTTTTCTTGATAGCTCCTGTAACCTCACTGAACTTGTTTTCTGGTCTGTGGAGTGAGATTGTCTCTTTTTGGGGGACTTCGGGCTTGCGAGAGCTCAGTGTTAGGTTTCCTTTCTTTGAGGCCAGTGCCTGCTCCAGGTCACAGCTCCTGCTCTGATGCACATTACTAGGATTTTTAGAAGGATCTTTAGGTAGCTCAGTGACCTCCAAGGAGAAGATACCTGGGTCAGATGGTTACTTTCCCTAGTAAGGGCTCAGTCCTTTTCCTCTGGTTGAGGGTCCCTTGCTCTTCCACCCAGGATGCCTGTGAAAACCAGCGTGGATTCTGAAATGGTGTGTTTTAGTCACAGAGAAAAGGAATGAATGTGTGCATTTGGCCATTTGGGAACAGCAGCATTGCCGAGGCTACTGGTCTCCCATTTCTCAGGCTAGTGGATCTGAGGAAGACGACTCCCTGTATGCACTGGATGTGTCTAAGCCAGACCTGCTAGACCCTGTAAGCAGAGGTGGCCAGTGTCTCGTGCTTGTTTCATCTGTGCTTTGATTTCTTTATGATGTTTTTCTCTCCAGATGCCTATATCACTCTGACCTGCAGAACCTGGAATGGTTGATTCCCTTAGCTACTACGTTCTCCTGGAATAACTCATTCTCAGACATTTCAGCTCATTTCCAGGACTTGCCTTATCAGATAGTGTCCGGATTTAAAAAGAATGGATTTTTAGAATAACAGCTGGTACGCAGGAGAAGAAGGCTTCCCACTTCCCTGCAGCTTTAAGAGCTGGCTGGGGCAGAGGAGGGAGCCCTTGCTGTCTCTGCAAAAGAGACCTGTACAATTTTGGCCTGGACTCACTCCAGTTCTCTTTGAGTTTCTAAGGTCAGCAGCCCAAGGATGCAGTCTGGCACTTCACTGAGGGCAGGGAGGAGGGAGGAGGATCTTACTCATCCAGTAAAATGCACTATAGTGCATTTTCATACCAACCACAAGGCCAAGTCCCTAGACAAGGACCTTGCAGGGAGGAGCTAGAAGTCTTCCCTAGGCCTATTCAAGAGGGGCCCCAGCCAAGTAGGCTTGTAACCAGAATTTTAGGAAAAAGTCACCCAACTCTTGCAACCCCAGCAGCCTAGCCTTGCCAACCCATCCCAGTGAGACAATTAGAGAGAGTAAGGGTTGTGAAAAAGGCAGGAGAGATTTAGTACACTGGGAAAAGGAACCAGTTTGATTTTGGGAACTGACATGGGCTTTAGGTTTAACTAAAACCTAAAAGCGTGGGCAGGTGCACACATTAAGCAGGCCTGTTCACAGTGTGCTTTCCTTGCTCTCAGCTCCAGTTCTGTAAAGTGTCCTGAAAAAGTGTTTGGGGCTGGAGAGGTGGCTCAATAGTTAACAGTCCTTGTTGCTCCCACAGAGGACATGGGTTTAGTTCCCAGCACCCACGCTGTGGCTCAAACATAAGTAACTCCACTTCCAGGGGGTCTGATGCTTGCTTCTGGCACACACAAACATACATGCAAGCAAAACACTCATGCATATAAAATAAATACTAATTAAAAAAAAGAAGTCCTTGTTGCTTGAATGTTTGTTTGTTTGTTTTGGGGGGGGTTGTTTGTTTATAACATAGTATACATTTTCATTTCCCATGATTTTGACCATATTAGTTTTTTTTTTTTTTTAATAATCTCATTTTATAGGCCTGGCCAGACTGGAATTTATTACATAGTCCAGGCTGTCCTCAAACTTATGGGTGAATCTCCTGCCTCAGCCTCCCAAATGCTGTGACTGTAGGTAGGTAGGGACCACCATGCCCAGCCAGTGTTCACTTTCTAGTTGCTTTTTTCGTACTGACTTTGATAGACTTTTCATTTGCTCAAGATGGTAATTCTTACTATGTTACAAACAAGTAATGTGTACTTCATTTTTAAAGGTCCTACTCAACTGGCTCCCTTTTTATCTTTGGGGTTTTTTTTTTTCCCTTGAGATGGGGTGTCGCTATATAGCTATTGCTGCCCTGGAACTTATATGTAGGCTAGGCAGACCTCAAATCTACAGAGATCTGTCTGCCTCTACCTCCTGAGTCCTGGGATTAAAGGCACGCACCACTCCACAATGCCCATCTTTGGGATGCTTGCTGATACCACCAGTGAACACCACTCTACTGATGACTTACAGTGCTAGGCTGGAGTGGACCAGCAGAGATGTGGCTCTATCTATTCACTTGGTCGTCAGCTTGAAATATGGCTTTGATGTTCCTTAGACTTCTCATGCCTTCTCTTTCTTTCCCTCTTCCCTAAAATTTTGGCATGCAAGGCTTAGATTTTAGGGTCTATCATACCTCAGACTTGGACTGCTCATGTACAGATGCCTGAGAATGTTTGTTCATGATGATTTCAAAAAAGCACACTAGCTTCTATGGCAGGACCACCTACCAACCCCCTTCCCATTTCCAAATGATCTCCAGGAACATGCTGAAATATTTTGGTGGTTTCACTGAATAAAAATAAGAAGCAACTGTCGATATTATAAGCAGGACACAACCCCCAGAAAAGACATTATCAGCTCTGTCAAACTGATGTCAAGTAGGAACATAAGCTCTATGTTGATGGTGGCTCTGTTTTCCAAAGGTCAAAGTCTGTATTTTAATGTTAAACATACTTCCAAAATGTCAGGCAAGCTTTGTGTTTGTTAGGCTTGGGGCAGACTCCGAATCTGCTCGTTCAACAGAGCCTGGCATATAGCAGGTACTCAAGGTTGAAAGTGTTTTCCTGACAGATGTGGTGGCAGATGCCGGTAATCTCAGTACTCAGTGAACTCAGGAGGATCATGAGTTTAAGGTCATCCTTGGCTATATAGTAAGTTTGAGGTCAGTCTAGGCTACATAGAATCTGTCTTTAAAAAGAAAAAAATGTTTCCCTGTTGGCTTCCCCCACCCCATTAAACTGAGTAAAACACCCAGAAGAAATGAGGAAAGATAAAGGCTCTTATGTCAGTCACTGCTGGGAACCAAGTTCTCTGTTTGAGTGTTGCTTTGTTTCTGCCTCTCTCACTAGTCTCTAAGTAACAGGAAGGTCATATTACTCTTCAAATTGCACATTACCAACACAATGCCTTAGAAACACTTTGTCGTTAAATTGGTAGTTGAAAAATGAAGGCCTAAGTGGGCAACCAATTTACCTTGAGACTGTAAATTTACGTATAAAGTACTTGTCACATGGACTCAAGAGGTAGGGCGGAGCGTGTGGCCTCTATCCCACTTTGTTTTAAATTCAAATATTGGTAGAACAATAAAGTTGAGAATTTGTGTGATCTGACCATAGAGTAAAGCAGCTCATGGCCATTGTCTGCAAACTCATGGTTTCTGGCTTTAAATCCTTGTCCCAAAGACTGTCCCCAAATGTTATTCCTCCTGTTGCACATTGTACTACTTGGGGTTTCTTCCTCCCAGAGCCTCTAGGGGTGCTGATCTCTTCAGGGCCAGTTTGTGGGATGATGGCTTAGTTCTCACTGTTTAGCACTGGCTTGCTCTTTCCTCCTCTGCAGTTCCTCCCGCCGTCTTGCCTGCTGCGCACTCATGCAATCCCTGAAAGCCTGCACTTGTGGCTGGCACTGACGCCAGTCCTGGTGCTGGGCCATGCACTCTTGTACTGCAAAGTGAGAGGCAGCACAGCCAGATTGGGTGATCAGCCGGTCCAGTGGATCTTCCTCATCATCATCCTTCTTCACCTGCCGGGTCCAGCCATGGCCTTGTGGGACTGAGGTTGACATCTTGGGGAACCTAAAATATCAACAGACAAGGTTAAAGTGCAGGTAATTAATTATGTCTTCCTGTCCATAACAGTATAATTTAAGCTGTACGGCCTGCTTATATGCCTGGTTCCCTTAGGAGATTAAGCACTTTTAAAAGGTTTATTTAATTTTTATGTATACAAGTGCTTGTCTGTTTTTATGCATAGCAGAAGTGGGAATCAGATTCCATTACAGATGGTTGTGAGCCACCATATATTTGGTTCACTGGGTATTGAACTCAGGACCTCTGGAAGAAGAGTCAGTGCTCTTAACCACTGAGCCATCTCTCCAGCCCCAGATACTAAGCTCTTTAACATCAGATTCTGGGCCTGATTTACCATAGGTGCCCCCCTAGCACGTGACCTGACAAGAAAAGGGCCTGCAAAATGGTTTGATGAACTGAGATAAAAGTCTCTAAGCTCAATGGAATCGGCTAGTGGAATGCAAATTAATGAAATGCTATCTTTTTGGAGAAGCTATTTCTGATTTCTGATCTACCTCAACAACAAAAACAAACAAACAAACAAACAGACTTTCTTCTTTCCTTCAGAAGGATAAAGTTGAACACCTGGGATGGTCCAGGAACAAGCAGATTAACACCTGGGAGGAACTGAGAGTCCTGCGGGTCAAGAGCTGAGTCTGTGGGCTATGAGGCAACCCAGCAGTCCCCAACCGTGAGGTGTGTTTGCCCAGACTGCTTCTCCGAAGCCATCTGCTTTAGCACCCCACAGAATGCAGCAAGGGGGAATTTAAGAAAGGCTTCAATAGAGATGACTTTTGCCTTTTCACAAACTTTATTACGAGGGCTGTGAAGAAGCTAAAAGGATATAAATGGCTCTTTTCTGTCTCATTCATTAACAGGTGGTTACTGAGTGTTGTGTGCCAGCTACAATGTTGAAAGTATACAAGCATGACCAGGCTAGGTCAGGTCCTGCCCTCATGGAGTTTACAATCCAGGAAAGTGAACAAGTAGTTTACAACAGTATGTACAAACGGGTGGAAACACTGGGGGGCGTAAGCCGTGAAGACTCTCTAGAGAACATGACTTCCAGGCTGAAACTCAGGGGTGAAGAGTTAGCTAGACATGGGAAAACTATCTCTGGCTAGAGGTAGACAGACAACATGGACACACAGGAGAGGAATCAAAAGTTTGGTGACTGGGCTGAAATGTAGTCTGGCAGTAAAGCAAAAGTCCAACGTGGAAGAGTCCACCGAATTTGATCCCCAGCACCATAAAGCAATAAAACACTTCAGTGACTGTAGAAAACAGCAGAGCAGGAACCGAAAACTGACAGAAACAAGCAAAAGGCAAATCAACAAAGCTTTACAGCCCATGTTAGGAGTTTAAGACTGTTATCATGAGGACAAGGGGTAAGTCACAAGAGGGATTTAAGAACTCCATCCCTATATAAACCTCCCCTGTATGGAAGCACAATAAAAGGGAAAATGGCTTTGAAACAGACACTGAGTGGGAAACTGGCGCATTGGGGTCACACACGCTTTAGGATTCAGTAGGTGGACTGGAAACGGCACTGCAGTCCACGCCCATCACATGTGGCCCTCGGTATTCCTTGGATGAAAAGAGTCGGACCCATGCTTAGAGATTAGGGCAGGCTAGAGGGCTGACAGCTTGGTCTGGACTGCTAGAAAGGCACGGCAAGGAAGGGGAAGCAGAGAAATGAGGGCGTCCAGGTCCCCTGAAGCACGTCTCCCAGTTTCGGGCGCACTCCCGCGGTCCCCACGGTGCCTCCGGCGCAGGGATGCGTGCGCAGTGCTCACCCGCAGGGGCAGAAGCGCGTGGGAGCGCGTCCCGCCCTCGTCACCGTTCTGCAGGCAGAGGACCCGGCCGCGTCTCTCGACAGAAAGCAGACCCTCGCGGGAGCGCAGACCCGGAAGAACGGAGCCCTCTGCACGTTTTCATTGGTGGGCTCGCCGGGTAGAGCCCGCCCTCAGGCCTGCTCTTCCGGGCAAGGGCGGAAGAGGCGGGCAAATGGAGGCGGGGTCACGGGAAGAGACTTGTGATAGTTCTGAGGGCCTGAGTGCACACCCTCAGGGGACTCCAGGCCCGTAGGAGGGACCCATTGTGCCTTTTCATCAGCGAGAGCTGTGCCTGGCACCTGTGTCCGAAGTGGGTTACCGCATGGGTTGCCTAGAAACCTGGAGGGCACGGGGTCCCGAACAGGAATTTCAAACCCATGTGGACAGGATTTTCCATTTTCAAAGCCAAGGAAACTTATGCGCAGTGCGATCAATATCAGAACTAGGAGCTATAAGCACTTAATTGTTGCCGTGAAAGGGAGAGGCATTTTCTTTTCTATTTATTTTTAAAACTGCATTGTGTATCTCTGTGTGCCGCCAAGGCACTCATGTGGGGGGCAGAGGACAGTTTGCGGAACAGCTCGCAGGACTCCTTTTACCATGTGGGCCCCGGGACTGAACACGGGTTGTTTGGTGGTAGGCACCTTTACTCCTGAACCATCTTGGGGGGCCCAGACCTCCCTCCCTCTGTCTGCCTCCCCCCCCCCACCTTCTCATGTCCACAGGGCACACCAAGTTGCTGGAGCTTCTTTCCCTTATTATTCTAGGCATCAGGGTGAAAAGCGAGTTATCTCACCTAGCCTTATCCAGACAACTCCCAACTCTCCCCTGTCATTACTCCCTGTCATTCCTGACCCTGGCGTTCACCAAAAACAAATCAACCTTCCTTAATTCTGTTTCATAACCAGTAAACAAGTTAAAATTATTCTAGCAACTTTCTCTACAAATGATAAATTACTAAAACTTTATTGTTATTGTTTGTTTTGAGAAGAATTTTTCTGTGCAGCTCTAGCTAGCCTGGAACACATTCTATAGACTAGGCTAGCCTCAAACTCAGAGAGCCACCTGCCTCTGGCTCCAGAGTGCTGGGATCAAAGGTGTGTACCTCTGCCAAAGCCGCCATTTTACCTGACTTCCAATACAGTATTGTAGTTGGGGTGTGTGTGTGTGTGTGTGTGTGTGTGTATCGCGCGCGCGTGTGTTGTGGTTGTTCCTATGGGTCTTCAAGGATACAAATATGACGTTTGTTTATTATTTTTGAGACAGGGTCTCACTACGGAGCCCTGCCAGGCTCGAAATTTGTTATGTACATCAAGCTGGCCTTGAGTTCACAAAGATCCACATACCTTTGCCTCCAAAGTGCTGGGCTCAAAAGGGTACCACACCTTGCCCAGCAAATTTGTTTGTGCTGTACCAAGAAACCATCTTTGTTTGGCAGCCTGCTTGTCAAGGAATTGGCCTAGATGGGTCCCAGAGCCTAGCACTTTAGAAGGATGTACTGTGACTAAGAAGAACAAGGCAAGCTGGTATGTCCTGTAAATGACAGCACTGAGAGCGTCCCGGCCATATAGCTCCTTCAGATATCCACACTGTCTTTATCCTCTCCACTTCATTTGTAGAATAAAGGTGTGCCTCTGAAGGTAACGTAGCACCGTGCCTGGTGTCTATGGTTACGGGGATCCAACCAGGGCTTCAGGCAAACACTCTACCATCTACCGCTACTCAGGCTTTACACACACACACACACACACACACACACACACACACACACACACACATAAAGTGAAACGTTTTCCATACATGTACATATGGAAAGCGAAACTGCAGTTTTGTATAAGAAGTTGTTGCTTTGCTGCCATCCTCCACACGAGGTCTTCACAGTCCCCTCATGTCACGGCAGTGTCTGCCTCCCCGATCACTCATCATCCTCTCATCTGTTGACTGCTCCCTAGGGCTTGCCATGCAAGCCGTGCAGCAGAGCTCTGCTGCACGAATACAGCCACCGCCACCCTCACCAAGCTCCTGGATGCTTCTCTGATTTCCCCCTCACCTTCTGTCTGTCATTTTCCTTGCCCATCCTTGCGCTGTGCCATTACCACCCACATCTGCTTCCTTAATCGTGCCTTCTAATTCTGCTTCTGAGGGATCCACCACAAAAGACTTCACGACAGCTCCCAGCCCCTTTGTTGTTCTAGTTCCATCACCACCCCTGTCCAGTAGTGAGAAGTCATCTTTGAATTCTGCAGTCTTCTCTCCAGGTGAGTTGGTCAGCCATGCTGTGAAAGCCACACAGCCACTTGGCACGCTGCGCTGCACTGGGTTTAATTTTCCTCTCCGACTCCCAGCTCCTCTTGAGCTATATTTACTTTTGCTTTTTTGTTATTGTTGTTTTTCACAGGGCCTTCTATGACATGCTCCCTGACCTAGAACACACTATTGAGATCCCATTGGCTTCAGTCTCAGAGCAACCTATCTGCATCTGCCTCCTGAGTTCTGTGATTACAAGCACACGCCAGGACACCCAGACCTACATTTACTTTTAAATGCAATTGAACTTCCGTTTATTTACACTAGCTAATGATGCAAGCTATGCCTGTGATTTTTGGATTTTCTCAGAGCCACATTAAGTTTAAAAATGAGCCAGGGAGATGACTCAAGCAAAGCACTCTCCACCAAGCCTGATGTCCCATTTCAAGCTCAGGACCCACATAGTGAAAGGAATGAACCAATTTATGAAAGTTGTCTTCCAACATCCGCACCAAGTTGTGGCATGTGGGCACGCACGCGCACACACACACACACACAATTTTTATTTTCGGTTTTTCAAGACAGGATTTCTCTGTGTAGCCTGCCTGTGATGGAACTTGCTGGCCAGTTTTCAGCCAGGCTGGCCCCAAACTCAGAGATCTTCCTGTTTCTGTCTGTGTTGGGACTAAAGACGTTCGCCACCGCACCTAGAACCATTGCTAAGTTTTGCCAGGAACGTGCTGGGTGGGTTCATGCCCTGGGTGTTTCCAGGTGAATGTTTTGTTTCCTGCCTGCCGTGAGCCACTTTGCTGTTTGACATTGCCCTGTGTTCTGTTAAACATATGTTCTTATGCACAAATGTTCAATCCTAGAGGATAAAATGAAGCTGGCCTCTGGCTTTTCTCTCTGTTGATGTGCTCATGCTTCCCTTCTTGGTACTCATCTGTTTTGCTGGCTTCTGCAGCTTTTCTTAAAGCTATTTCAGCAGCAGCACAAAAGGCATCAGAATGCAGTTCGGTGTTCATCTCCCTCCATAGTTTGCTTATGAATTTAAAGGCTGATTTGCCGGCTGGCGAGCTGGCAACACACACTGCTTCTTGAAGTCTGTCACATAATCAGCCCCAAAGATCTCCTAAAGGCCCAAACACCAAGCACGGAGCACCAAGCACAGACCACTAGCGCAGCCCTGCTGGCATCACTAATTCAGCTAGGAGAGTTTAGCTGCCGCTTCAGTTTGTGGTCTGAGATTTCCCTGACCAGGGCAGCTAAACCTGCAGCTGGCAATGTGGTTTGCAAGGTAGTTCGAGGCCAAACCTTGTTTAACAAGGTTTGCAGGCAGCCAGACAAGGGTCTGCTGGCCAAGAATGTGTGGTGTAGATACTCTTTAAAGGCGGTTTTAATTTCTATTTACTTATTCTTAATTGTATAGTGTTTTACCTGTATGTATGTCTGTATACCACAAACGTGCCTGGTGCCCACAGAGGCTGGAAGAGGGGATTGGATCCCCTGGGACTGGAGTTATAGACATGTGAGCTGCCATGTAGGTGTTGGGAATTAAATCTATGTTCCTCTAGAAGAGTAGCCAGTGCTCTTAATCACCGAGCCATTTCTCTAGGCCCTGAAAAGATAGTTTAATTGTCTTTGAAAAAGATGACCTGTCATAAGAGAATATTGATTTTTAGGGACAGGAATATTGTGACTTTGAAACTTTTTCCTAATGAAATGTGAGAGCCTGTCTATTAGAGATAAAGAGGTTCCAGAAAATCTTGATTATTGAAGACATTGTCATTGTCCTTCAGAATTCCCAGAAATTTTGAAGTACAACTCCAGAGAAAGCAGGCTGCGGGCCCTTGTGTAGCTCCCTGATGCCTCACAGCACAGTTTGGTGGCATTCTGCCGTTAGTCTCTGTTATTGGTATTGGGATTAGTATTGTGTTGGTTAGAATAAGAGATGTCATGTTGTTTTGTTTTGTTTTAAGACAGGGTTTCTCTGTGTAGCCTTGGCTGTCCTGGACTCACTTTGTAGACCAGGCTGGCCTCAAACTCACAGAGATCTGCCTGCCTCTGCCTCCCAGAGTGCTGGGATTACAGGCATGTGCCGCTGTACCCAGCTTTAAGAGATGTGATGTTGAAAGAAACCCAGAAGAAGGGTTTTCCGGCCTTGTTTTAGTGTTCAAAAAAAAACATTGTATTACATTTATTTGTCTGTGTATGTGTGTGGGTGCGCATGTGGTCAGAGGATAGCTTGCAGAAGCTGGTTCCGTTCTTCCTCCGTGTGGGTTCTCAGGACCTTCACCTGTGGAGCCATTTTTGCTGGCCCCAGTCGTGTGTGTGTGTGTGTGTGTGTGTGTGTGTGTGTGCGCGCGCACGTGTGTCTATGAATGTGCGTTTGTTTGCCTTTTTGAGGCAGGGTCTCATAGCCAAGCTAACCTTGAACTCATCCTGTTAACAGAGGTTTAGCCTTAAACTCATGATCGTTCTGCCTCTACCTCCTAAGTGCTGGGATTACAGGTCTGAGCAACCCCACCCAGTTGGCAGCAAGTTTGCTTTTGGCGTTGTGTTTTAGGCACAATACCCTGAGAGTATTAGTATTTGATTTCCCTCTAGAAATTAAAGCTCATGTCTTCCAGTCTTCCAGCTGTATCCTGTTGTTGGTCTGTCTTCTAGAGGGACAGCGCATTTTGTAATTAGAAAGATAATGGCATCTCCTTGATAAGAAATTACATTGTGTCCCTTTGCACCAAAAGTTGCCAAGGGAGAGAGACGGCTTTGTGGGCTGGGTAGAGAAGATCAGAGATACTCTGAGAGGAAGAGGACTTCCT